ACATGAAAGACGGTAGATTACTGTATATTGACAATCTTTAGATGTCCAGCCTATGTCCATGTGCTAAGTGTGAAACGTTCCAAATTAGACTCTAAGTCTAAGCAATGCACCTTTCTCGATTTTGAGAAGGGAGTGAAAGGATTCAAGCTTCACATAAGGTTGTGCTTAGCAGGGATGTTGTGTTTAATGAATCTCACATAGTGAAGCCAATTAACATGCAAGATGACAAAATGCAAGTAGATGAAAGTGATGGAGAAAGATCGACAGTTTAGGTGGAGCTAGAAGAGTCTAAAACACAAGAAGAGGAAAAATCATCTAGCAGCATACCAGAACAACAACAATCACATGGTGAACCATATAGTTTGGCAAAAGGCAAAAAGAAACGTGTTCGCAAAGCTCCTGTGAGATACGGCTTGGGAAAATCTACTCCTTTGAATATGCTTTAAGTGATACACAAAGTGATAAATAGATGACAGCCATGATGGAGGAGATGAATTTTCTGAAAAAGAACAAGACTTGGGAGCTTGTTAAGAGGCCAAAGGGAAGGAAAGTAATTGGGTGCAAGTGGATCTTTCGGAAGAAAGAGGCAGTAACAGAAAAAGAATGTTAGAGATTCAAGGCTAGGCTCGTAACAAAGGGCTACGCTCAGAAGGAGAGAGTGGACTTCAATGAAATATTCTCTTAGGTTATCAAACACACTTCAATAAGGCTATTACTTGTTTTAGTAGTCATGTTTGATTTGGAGCTAGAACAACTTGACATGAAGACAACGTTTCTTCGTGGTGATTAGGAGGAACAAATCTTTATGGAGCAACCTGAAGGCTTCAAGGTGCATGGAAAGGAAGATCAAGTTTGCTTGCTTAAGAGATCGTTTTATAGTCTTAAGCAATCTCCCAGACAGTGGTACAAACGTTTTGACTCTTTCATGGTAAAGAAGTTAGTACGATTGTTGTGTTTATTTTAAAGTTCTTGATGATAATTCCCTTATTCTCTTAATGCTTTATGTTGATGACATGCTCATTGCTACCAAGAATGCATGTGACATAACTTCTCTTAAGTCTATGTTAAATTCTGAGTTTGATATGAAGGATCTAGGGGCCGCTAACAAGATCTTTGGTATGGAGATTCATAGAGATAGAAGTGCAGGTAAACTCTGGGTAACTCAAAAAAGGTATGTTGAAATGGTGTTGGAGCGTTTCAACATAGAAACGGCCAAATCAATTAGCACTCCATTGGCGAGTCACTTCAAGTTATCTGAATGGCAGTGTTCTTTTTATGGATGAGGAGATAGAGCATATGCCTTTGGTGCCCTATGCTAGCGCAGTCGGAAGCCTCATGTATGCTATGGTTTGTAGTAGGCCAGATTTATCTCATGCTGTCAGTATTGTTAGTGGATACATGAGTAATCCTGAAAGGGAGCATTGAAATGCTATTAAGTGAATTTTCAGATATATGAGAGGGATGTTAGATCCCGTAATTATGTTCAGCAGGAAGATAAGCTCTACGAAACTGGTGGGATATGTCGATTCCGATTATGTTGGTGATTTAGACAAGTGCAGGTCTACTACAGGGTATGTCTTCACGCTAGCAGGTGGACCTATTTAATGGAAAACAATGCTTCAACCCACGATTGCATTGTCTACAACAGAGGCAGAGTACATGGCAGCAGTTGAGGCTGCAAAGGAGGCGATCTGGTCGACTGGTTTGGCTCGTGAGTTGGGGTGGGAGCAAGAAGGTATTGTGTTGCATGTGTGATAGTCAAGAGTGCCATAAATCTTGCAAAGAATTAAGGGTTTCATACAAGGACAAAACACATTGATGTGAGATATCACAAGATCAGGGAGTTTGTGTCAGAAAGAATCATTCACTTGAAGAAAATTCATATGAATGACAACCCTGCAGATATGCTTACAAAACTGGTCACCACGGAGAAGTTCAAGCTTTGCTTGGACTTGCTTAATATCTCTCATTGTTGAGAGTGAGGGAAGCACCCCATGGCAAGTGGGGGTGTAGTCGTGTACCTTTATGAAGGTATGGGGATGAAGACATCTTCAGGGTGGCTCAACAGAATTCAAGCCAAGGTGAAGATTGTTGAGGATTGCTGTCTTGTATTATGAGGAAATAGATTTGCCAAGGTGGAGTAAAAAAGACGACTCCGGAGGGCCGTTAAAAGCCCGAAAGGCCGAAGGCCCATAGAGCTTGAAACTGGGAGGAAAAATTCGGATATATCCGTACATGGGATTCGTTGTATCTAGGATTTGATATATATCCATACAAGGGTATTTCAATAATTTGTACCATCTATCTAAGAGTCGATATATATTGTTGCGATTTGGGGTTCATCCATGGTTAATGGTTAAGGGAAAAAAGCAAATCTCTCTGTAATTAAATAAAAAACAGAGAGGCGTGAGGAAGAGAGCGAATTGTAACCCTATTCTTCATTGTCAGTAAAGAAGCTCTAATCTCCCTATATCTTTGTATTGTGGTTGGTTGTCTATTTATTTTGTGTTTGTTTCTTCTTTTTTATTTTCGTGGATTGCTTTTCATTTCTACAGAATTCGCTATGGATTTTCTCTTTTTCGGTTGTTGAACAACCGAATTCAATGGATTTTCCACTATACCCTTCTTCACAACTCTTTACTCGTATTTTCCTTTTAAACTCTGCTCGATGTGCTTTACTCGTTTTGCCCTTTAAACTCTTCTCGATGTTTATGATAGATTTCTCATTGTAGAGAGAGAATGAATAAATATAAGGAAGAGTTTAAAATGAGAGAATGGATAAACATAGAGAAGAGTTTAAACCCACTCAATCTAAGGTACAGAGAGAATGGATAAACATAGGAGAGAGAATGGATAAGCATAAGGGAGAGTTTAAAGGGTAAAGAAGAGTTTAAACCCACTCAATGTTTATCCATTCTCTCTCTATACCTTACATGGGGTGGGTTTAAACTCTTCTTTACCTTTTAAACTCCCCCCTATCTTTATCCATTCTCACTCCTATGTTTATCCATTATCTCTCTATACCTTATATTGAGTTTAAACTATTCACTATGTTTATCTATTCTCTCTCTACCCTAGGTTTAAATCCATTGTAGAGGATTTTGGTTGTTGAACAACTGAAAATCTATTGAATTCGGTTGTTCAACAACCGAAAAAGAGTAAAAACGTATTTTTAATTTTTTTTTTGTTATGACATAAAAAAACAGACAGATAGGTAATAATGAAAACTATTTAATAGTTTCGTAATAACGCAAACTATAACGGATATGTACGTAATTTTCCTTATAAATAATCATGTTAATTTCTTATTATCTCTTGTTCTTTTACAGAGAAAAAAAGAAGAAAAAAAAACCCTACTTTCTTTTTTTTTGGTTACCTAAGTTGGAATCTATACTAAAAAAGGGAGATATAAAATTTGCAAACTAGGAATGCTGTTTAATTCGTTATCTTGGACCCCAAGATTTAATTTTATTTGTAAGGATTGGATAGACTTTTTATTTTTATTTATCAGAATCAATTTTTAGAAATAAGATTAATATAGATTTTTTTTTATAAAATTATATTTTAGGAAGAAAGTATCCATATTTTCTAGGTAGGAATCTATTTAAGAAAAGAACTGATGGTGTTAGTGTGGGAGGTTCCCTTGTTATTAGGAAATATCTTTGAGGGGACGTTAATTTTTAGATGGGTTTTTTTAGAATATGTTTAAGATCAATGTGAGGGGAAAGTTTTGAAGATCGATGTGAGGGCAAGTTTTGATAAGGAAGTAGTAAGAAAGGATTAATTTTTGGGAAAAAAATAGGAGTTCCATCTTTCTATTTATCTTGTGGAAAGGAAACATTCATGTTCTTTGGAAATTGACGTGGGTACGAGTCGAGTTAACTATCTTTATTTGGTAGTTATCTTTAGGTTTGTGAAGGCAATCACATGAATTGTAATGGGGAATTGAGTTTTATGAATGGAAAAAAAATGATATTTGAGATGGTATAGAGTAAGAGAGAGAGCCTTTTGGTGTTTTTTTTTTCTCTTTTGCTTATGGATCTATGCCGGAATATTCGTATCCCCACGTTTTGTTCTTTTTTCTTATGATTTTCTTCACGATTTTTATTTGCCTCTTAAACACGGTTAACTTTGCTAGTGTTGTTTGCTGGTAATTTTTATAGTCTCTCAATATGAAAGATGAATATAAGGTGAATGACTAAATTTTAGGGGAGAGAAAGTATAATAGTGTTTCGAAGAAGGATCAATTGAAAATAAAAATAAAAATAAAAATATAAAATTCAAAAATTAAGGGATTTGCCTCTAATATATATTTTTTATCATTTAGACAAAGGAATACTTATTTTTACATTTTTCCATTTTTAGACATTTATGTAATTTGAGACCTCAACCAAATAATAAAAATACCCTTAATTGTTTTGTATAACTAATGAAGAACACAATGTTCAGTGTTACTAATATGGAATAACCATGGGTATTTTTATTATTATGCAGTTAATTACTTTTCATGGAACATATTATAAAAAATGTCTCTAGTTTTTCTGTTCAAGAGTATTATCGTTATTCGGGTGAGGCCTCTTAGTGGGTCAAATTATTGAAATGTCCCTCATTATTCTTCATTCCAAATTTTTAACAAGGTAAATAGTCTCATTAGGTAAATTGTCTCATTGTATACAATTCATATTTTTAAATTTTTTTAAGGCCGTATCTAAATGACATGAAAAAGAAAATACACACTCAAATATTTAAATTTTTTTGAGGTCGTATCTAAGTGACAAGAAAAAGAAATATGCACTCAAATATTAATACGGATAATTTTACCCCTTGGTTTTTTAAGTGATCCCATTCTTTTTCCCAAGAAAAATAGTTATAAAATTTCCCATTTATTTACAAAATAAATTTAGTCACCCCTGAGTTTCATGAAATCAAAAGCATATTTTCCAAAAAAGAAAAAAGAAAAAAAAGAGCGGCATATTCTTAGGGCAGTAAGTCCTAGCACTATGGAGTCGGAAAAGAAAAAAAGGGCAATGAGGGAGAAGCTAAGGGCTTAAATAATGAGTTTAGGAACCAATTCTCTCTCCTTTAAGCATTCTTCTCACGCTCTGCAATTCGGCCGCCTCTCTCATTGGAAGAGCCTTGTTCAGCAAGTATGCATAAACACGCTTTCCATTTCTCCCTTTTTTATTCTTGATGATTTGTTTTAGTTTTATTTTCTCTCTGTTATCCCGATAACTCCTCAACACATAAAAATTCCCATTCCCATTTTTCAATTTTTTTTGTACCCTTTTATCTCATTTTTCTGTAACATGAACATGAATTTCATGGTTCTTCTTATTCTCTCACCATCAAATTCATTCTTGGTTTAAATTTCTGGCTTTGGTTCTTAGCTTTTCATCGTTTTTTTCTATTGGGTTTATCTTAGACTGGGGTTCGAGCAATTTTATTTGATGTTTCTGTAATTTGAGCATGCGTTTCTGGGATTTTCTTCTTCTCTCACTATCAAATATTTTCTGTTTTGGAAATGAGTTTTTTGTTTTGTTTCATAGATTTTCATGGTTTTTATCTTGTGGGTTTCTGTTATAGTGGAGCTTGAGCAATTTTATCTCATGTTTCTCTAACTTGAACATGTACTTCTGGGTTATTCTTCTTCTCGCACCATCGAGTATATTCATGGTTTAAATCTAAGTTTCTGCTTTTTTGTCTTAGCTTTTCATTTTTTTTTTCTCTGTTGGGTTTCTTTTATAATGGGGCTTGAGCAATACTCTGGAGAAATTCGTTAATGCGTATCAGTGATTTAGACAGATTATTTTAGAGCATCATCTGTAAGGCTTCTCTGCAGAAAGAGGAATTCGCGATTCTTCGCTATGCTGAATGGTGATGATAATGTAAGTTTCCAATTTCTCCAAATCCATTTGTAACCATTCTCTTTTTTATGCATCTCTCTCTGATCCCTTGTTACTGCTTGTTACCTGTTGAGATGCTTATTTTGTACTAAGAACCACTTGTGGTTATATTTATCTAGTAAACTACATTGTAAAAAAGGTACAGAAGGTGAAAAACCCAGTTATCTTCACTGCAGCTTGAAAATCGGCTTTACTTGAGCATTGTGCTGTATATGTATGGTTTTGGACATATTGAGAATGAAGATCTGGCTGTTTTATAGTAGTTGTGATATTACTCTCGGTTCAGTTCAGTATGATGTACTTGTCTTTTTTTCTTTTTAATGTTTATTTAGCAGGTAGAAAATGAAACAGGCACTGTCAGGCAACTGCTTGCGAAATTGTGTAAGGCCTCACTAAGAGCGACTTTTCCAGATGACTTGGAGTTGGAGCCATTGGTTGCTATATGCACGGGAAAATTTGGCGATTATCAATTGTAAGCGTAGTTGTTTCTCTGTTTTGTTTCTAAAGGAAGGAAGCTAGAAAAGAAAATTGATATGTGAATTTATAGTCCTTTGCACTTGATCTTGTTATATTGGAAACAAATTCACCCATCATGGTCTTACTTCTTCCACATACTTGTTTATTTGAATTTAAGCTACCGTACTTTGTGTTTGACTCTTCCACCTTGGTTCTTGATCCGTTCTTCAATGATCATGAAAGATTGTTCAGATCATATTGAATTAATCATGTCTGTTATGTTTTCTACTTTCTATTAATTTTCTAGTCATAGAAACCATGCTAACTAACAGTGCATTATGACGCAGTAACAATGCTATGGGTATCTGGTCGAAAATTAAGGGACAGCCTGGCCCATTTAATAAACCTTTTTCTGTTGGAGAGGTATGTGTTTCTTAATAAACATCTATGATCTTTTAAGCTTTTCATTGATTTTTGCAACTTATAAGAGTCGTCGGCTGTTTTGGTAATTCTGTATTTGTGATCAGTAAAGAATGGGGTCATTCATTAGAGATCAAATTTGAAATGCTTTATTTCGACTACTAGCATGAGGATGTGTCTATAGATTAAGAAAAACAGGAATACAAAGAAATCTTTGGCATGGTATTGGTGTTACTTTCATCTTCCATTTAATTTTTTTTTGAAATATATTTCGTTTTCAATAACATAAAGACTGTAAATATAAAAAGAAAATCATGGAGGTTTTCAATGATTGGGATTTAACCCCCACTTTTTGAAATGGGTAAATCAAATATAGGTGCCCATGAAAACTGCTTATGCAAATAAACATAAACCCTGAATACCTGAAATTTAACTTTTATAAATATATTTTTATTTCTTTTTCAGGCAATCAGGAAAACTCTTCCACCTTCTGATATGATAGAAAGCACCTCTGTGGCAGGTCCTGGATTTGTGAATGTTGTTTTATCGAAGCCATGGATTGCTAAGGTGTGAGAAATTCTATCTATATGAGAAAGAGTCTTTTTGTATCTTTCGACATGTTTACATTCTTGATACTAAATCGTCAATATTGTTGGTATTGCAGAGAATACATGCGATGCTATTGAATGGCATTGGAACCTGGGCACCTGTGCTTTCTGTCAGGAGGGCGGTGGTTGATTTTTCCTCACCAAACATTGCCAAAGAAATGCATGTTGGCCACCTTAGGTCAACAATAATTGGAGATTCTTTGGCCCGAATGCTGGAGTTTTCTAATGTTGAAGTTCTTCGGCGAAACCATGTTGGTGATTGGGGTACTCAGGTGTGTTTAATTGTGAAAAAAAAAACTCCATATTTATTAGGTTTCCTCTAGTATCTTGTTCCTTTTTGGGGGTCAAACTTTATATATGTTAAAAATTTCAATTATTTATTAATTTGTAAACTATAGAGTGCGTAAAAGTTAGATTCCCTCATGTCGTATTCTATTGCATTGATATTGTGTATAATACGTACATTGATGTCATTGATAGTTATGTTGTGTGTAATACCTTCATTGATGTCACTGTATCTTTGATAGTTATGTTGGACACATGCAGGATGCTAATTCAATTCCAGTTTATGCAGCATTTGGTCATATCCGCATCCTTTTACAGTCCAGATTTGCCACACTTAATAATAAATCATGGAAATAACCAACATGTGAGCTTTTGGGTTTAAGTTGACATCTCTGGTGGCTCTATTGTTGTAGACTTTGCCACATGAGTCAGGGGATTTCTCTAGTTAGTTATCAATCAATCCATCATACATATGCCATGTATTGTATACCATTCAGATGCTTGCGGCTTTTAAAATATTTGCGTACTTCAAGGACAAAAGAATTTAATGGTAGGTAGCCTGTTAGTAAAACAGTTTAAAATATTGTTCTAGCTGTTAAATTCTTCTATCAACCAAGATTACCTAAAAGTTGTTGTTCTCTACATGTGGTTTTTACAGTTGTACATCAGTGATTAAAATTTCATCTTCGACAAATTATGATTTGGAACTCATTGTTGACTTCTGCAATTTCACAGTTTGGCATGTTGATCGAGTACCTGTTTGAAGAGTTCCCTAACTGGGACGATGCTGGTGAACAAGCCATTGGAGATCTTCAGGTTGGTGACGACCAATTATCCCCTCTGTGGATCTCTTTTTGATGGATAAGACCTTTTTGTATATAAGAAGTGATTATCGATAAGCATTAAATTGTTATTGTTACAAAAATGGATTTATGAATTATTCTTTTGAGAGAATATTTGACTGGATTTATCAAGTATTTACCCTTTGGAAACTTTTATATCTTAATTTTGTTTTTACAGTTATTTTACAAGGCTTCCAAAAAGAAATTTGATGAAGATAACACCTTCAAGGAAAGGGCACAACAGGCTGTCGTTCAACTGCAGGTGATGGGTCTTCTAAGATTCAAAACCCAATATATTCATATGGCTTTTGTATCTGATTTGAATTTGAATTCTTCTCCTTAAACCATTCCTTATAGGGTGGAAGTCCCAATTATAGGAGAGCATGGCAACAGATTTGCGAAATCAGCCGTAGGGAGTTCGATCAAGTATATCAACGTCTCGGAGTTCATCTGGAGGAGATGGTATTATATTTGTCATAGTGATTATTAACCTTGATTATTTTTGTTGGAGGCAGGGAATTCCATTTGCAATTTCACATTGAGGTTGGATGGTATTTTTTTTTTGTGATAAAGTTTTTTTCTTAAACTTTTTTTTTCATTTTTTTGACATAGGAATGGAACTTGAGACGTTGGGCTACGAAAACCAAGCCTCTACTGTCTTGACCCAAGCCCGTTTCCTGGGGTTGGATGGCATTTTATCATCTATAGGACAGAAAAATCAAGGTTTCTGATGTGTCCTATATGAAAAATTTGTTTTAACATTTGATCTTAAGCTATATGAATATATTTGCATCATTTTTTGTGATTCTTATCTGTTCCTGGTAATAGAATCACTATTTTATATGTACGTCACTGTGATTTCCAACCTCATTGTGTTGCAAGAAGCATTATCATTTTTTTCATGATAATTTACTGCATACTTGTGTCACAGTTAACGAATTTCCCTTAATATGATTCTTATTAGGGGGAAAGTTTCTATAGCCCTTATATCCCTGGGGTTCTACATGAATTGGATAACAAAGGATTGATTCAGGAAAGTGATGGTGCAAGAGTTATCTTTCTCGATGGCTACAACATTCCTTTGATTGTCGTGAAGTCAGATGGAGGATTTAACTATGCTTCTACTGATCTTGCAGCTCTTTGGTTGGTGCTTTTATATAAATTTCCCCTTGTAAATTTACTTATTTAAGGCTCTTCGCAACCAAATTCTATGGATAGTGGCTTGTTAAAGAGAATACTGCCATCATTATGAGTGGATGTCTACTAATCAAATTTAGTTGGGTTTTTAGTCCTTGCAGAACCTCCTGTAAACCTTGTAAGAACAAATGTTCCTTGCGAATAAAGTAGAAGTTCCTTCAGCTTTCTTGTTAAGTAAATTTATTCTAAATGTTTAATTGAGAGAAAAATGATTGCGGATGTTAACCGGTGGCAAACAAGTTGAAATGCACCTATTATTATGCTTGGAAAATAAAACATAAATAAGAATTTCATACTCCTAGCGTTTCTTTTCATTGAAATTCTAGTAGGCTAGTTAGAAATGTTAATAGGCTTTCCTCATGGGAAAGTGTGCTGTATAACATGATGAAAATGGAGTAATATTACAAAGCGTTTTTTGAATATTAAGGATTGTGGGTAGTAACTGTACTTTGGTGGTTGTGGAGCTGGTCTTGCTATGGTAAATTTTCAATGTTCTCTAACTGGAATGGATGGTGGATCTGCTTGTAGCGTGTTATACCACACTCTATTTCCTGACAGTAAACCAACCTTTATACCATATTTTTATTCGTTATAATATTTTCTGTTTTTTCATGCTCGTTTTTCTTGAACAACATTCCTTTAATTCTGTTGCAACTTTTATTTTATAGGTACCGGATTAATGAAGAGAAAGCGGAATGGATCATATATCTAACCGATGTGGGTCAGTCACAACATTTTGAGATGTTCTTCAGTGTACGTATCCATGCTTTCTTAAATTGTGTATTTATACTTTTTTATTAAGTTGGTGTTTAATTATTTGTGCTATTTTTCCATGAGATACCTGCATGCATACCATTTGATGGATGTAACATGAACTTGCTGAGGGTTTCCAACATCATTTGGTAAGGATGAATTCTTAATAAAGGCGTGCATTCTCACAGACCTGACTTAAACCTCATTATGTCTACCCAGTGTTCGCAAAATCGAACGGGAACGGTTAACCGGACATGGGCCTTGAAGCGGTTTAGCCGGCCTGACCGGTAAGTTTAGCCGGCCTAACTGGTAAACTGGCCAATTCAACTGTTCTAACCGGGCAACTCTCGGGTGGTCAAAAAAGTGTTGAAAAATAAAAAAGATAAAAAAAAACTACTAAAATATGAAAAAAATATAAAGAATGATTAAAACAAAACAAATTCAAATAAAATTGAAAATGATGAAAAAAATGGATTTTAACAAATCGATTTTTGAATTAAAGATAGTATTAATGACCAAAACAATTTTTAATTTTTACCATCATGTAAAGAACATTAAAAAATGCATTACAAACCAAATTCCTTATTTTTGGGAATTTATATATATTTTTTTGAAATTTTTTTTAAAAATACTCCAAAACCGCCCAAAACCGAAACCTGGCCACTGGCCGCTTCTGATTTTAACCGGGCGGCTAGTGGTTAGATCGCCCAATTTTTCCAACAGGCTGATATTTTTGGGTTGGAATAACATAAACATGGTGCAAATAACCGTGCGTCTTAAAAGTTGTCTTGGCGAGGTTTTTTGGGTTTTAGATTATTCTTTGGAAAGTGAACCACACTTATATGGAATGCACCATGGTTAAATTTTTAACTAAGCAAGAGAAAATTGGAACTGACTTGAACCTCATTACGCCTACCATTACAATCACCAAATATGTTGATTAAAGCAGGGATTGTTAGTTGCAACAAAGTTTTTACCATCTGCACCTACATACATGGGTGGTAATTTTAGCCAGGCACTATTGTTAATATCCCTGCTGATAGTTTTGCGTAGGAATAACAAAAACATGGTGCAAATAGTCATACGTCTTAAAAGTTGTCTTGGCAAGGGCTTTTGGGTTTTAGATTATTCTTTGGAAAGTGAACCACACTTCGCGATATGGAATGCACCATGGTTAAATTTATAACTAAGCGAGAGAAATTGGGTGATATGTGGTTCATTCCAGTGAAGTTGTTACCATTATTGTTACACTGTTAATGTTAAAGGTGCTTTTGGATGACCTTAATGTTGTTATCCACATGTAGTTTCTGTTATTTTTTAGGTAGTTATTTTATTTTCTGTAGTTTATTTGCATGTAATATTTCTTGCGCAATTATTTGGGTACGAGGACTTGTAATGTTCGTTGTTATGGGTTACCTTGGTTTGCGACTGTACAGGAGATTATCAGGACAGTAGCTCGAATTCCTGCAATAGATTATGCAGGTGGGAAACTTGAAAGTTGAAATATTAGGATATTCCTTGGACCCAATTTTTATTTCCCCCCTCTTTTTTTTAATATAGAAAGAAGTTTTGGTAATGTTCGGTGATAATTGGAGTTTCTGGACCATCTGCATGCTTTATGGTGATGTTTGTTGTACTGTCCTGATAAGTTGGCATCAAAGAATGCCTTTTTCTGTCTTACATTTTTGGAATAGAGATATGTTCTAAAAAGGTTTTGGCATCATGGATTATCTTCTGTGTCTAATTTTTGGAATAGAAAAAAATGTTGCTAGTGATCTCTCTCTCTCTCTCTCTATCTCACATTTCAGGCTGCCAAGCGTGCCGGTTGGCTTCCACAAGATGGTGGATACCCAAAAACAACACATATTGGATTTGGCCTTGTACTTGGTTCGGATGGCAAACGTTTCAGGACTCGGAGTTCTGAAGTTGTACGTTTGGCTGATTTACTTGACGAAGCCAAAGCTCAAAGTAAAAAGCAGCTTATTGAGCGAGGTGTGTTAAAAGTGTTGGACTATTATCATCAGAAACTCATATACACATGCACAAACACACACATTTCCAAGAGACACACATATGTATATATAGATTTAGACCCATATTTGCTTCCACAGATCATTCTCTTTTTTCCATTTTGGCATTTTAGGAAAATAGTAAATTAAAGGCTAGGTTCGTGCCACTTGTTTGTAGCACAAACTTCAATATTGGTACCCTTGACCTCCCTCATGCAAACTGGATCTGTGCCCTAAGCAAGCATACATGCACCTATATCACATTATTTTGATCAATGTTGTTACAACTTACAAAGGCATCTTGGCCTTTTAATAATTTTACAAAGCTATAATAGCTTGGTGTGCAGAGCGTATCAATTGAAAGAGCTAATGAAAACGGTGAATTTATGGAACATCAATGGTGTGATACCAGATGTAAAAGATGGGTATGGAAGTAAAACATGTACGTAAGGGTGCATGCGTGGTGGTCCCACGAGACCTACTCTGCATTTGGCTCTGGCAAAACACCGAGTTAGGGAATGTTTATGCCTGCAAATATTTTAAAACATCTATGATTCACCGTGTGATCAATGTATAAAAAAAAAAGATTTTCGGTTCTGAAAATGCTAGATATGATCTTCCATCAAGTAAATGATCCAAAGTCAAATCTTGGAGTGAGAATTAATTTGGAACAATTTTGTTGACCTTCAAATCTTCTTTTAGATTGATTTTAGTGGTGAATGAAGATGATTGGAGAGTTTTGGCCTTACATGGTGTTTTGGCCATGGGACAAAGTTTACATTTTCATCCCACAGGAACACAAAAGTTTTTCCCTACAATTAAGCATAAATAAAAACCCAAAATGAAAGGAAACAAATTTTTAGAAAAAAAAGGGGGAAATAAAAGAAAGTAAAGATCTTCTGATAACTTTAAAAATGTGTGTGTGAGTGAGAGAGAGAGAGAGAGAGAGAGAGAGAGAGAGAGAGAGAGAGAGTAGTAGTAGTAGTCGTACTACGTTTACGTTTTCGTTTCGTTCTTCGTAGGTAAGGTAAGGAAGTAAGTAGTAGTAGTACGGTACCGGTACCGGTAC